GCTTGTTCTAAGTAGGTGCTTTAGACCACTGAACCATCTCACCAGCCCCTCAGTTTTTTCTTTTTAAAAATTTGGTTTCAAGTCTCACTTTTAGCTTTGTTTGGGAGGACTAGAGTAGGTTTTATTTGGGGCTAGTTTTGTTCTCCTACTGAACCCTGGACTATTCTCTGTGATTCCTGTGACAAACGGGCTCCAATTGGTGGGACTGGCACTATGCCAGCCCTGTGTAGGCCTTGTGTGTTTACCCTTTAATTATTTTGAGAGGTGGTTTTCCTGGCCTTCAAATCATTTCTTCCTGGTGCTGGTCAGGACTTAGCTGAGGATCTGTCGTTGGACATATCTCCTGATGATCTGACCTCTGATACTGCTGCTGCGATGTCTTATCTTGCTCTTGCGAGACCCCTGGCTTCCCTTGGACTCCCTGCTCCCACTCCTTATAGGCAAACGCTTAAGGCAAGACACTGGGAAACCTGTGGAACAATTGTATTAATGCCTCATTGCTCTGTATCAAGTTCCTTGGAAACAGTGATGTATTTTGCCTATTTGGGGGTGGTTTGAGGAAAGTAGGCAGATCTGATCTGTGTTACTCCATGATGGTTGGGATTAGAAATCTCTTTGTGTAAAAATTTGAAGTAGTGCCTCTGCTCAGGAAACATAGGTGGTGTCATGGGAAAGAAAGATAACATTTGGATGACTCCAGTGAATCTGAGTCATGATCCTAACTCAAGTGTATGGGCTCTAGTGTCCTGTAGTTCTTTCTGGGGAGGTGTCAGGCACCTTATTATTTAGGCATGGGCAGGGTTGTTCCACTCTACACATTCAAGCAACGCTTGCTGATCTTTCTCACAGGGAAAAAGGCTGGACTGCCTGCATTTTTCCATGGCTTGTACCAGAAGCAGCAGGAGGTGTGGTGTTTGAGAATAACTGCCGCCTCACTTTGTATTGATTGGAGGGGCCATTGTTACCATAGTGGTGTGAGAGTGTGCTTTTTTTTTAAATTGTGAAATCGGGGATTGAACTCAGGCCCTTGCCCTTGCCAGGCAAGCGCTTATTCTACTGAGTTATCTCCCCAGCCCTGAGAGTGTGCTTTAGGGTCCAAACACTGCCCTAGACTGAGAAAAAATTATTAATAGATTGATTGAAGGACTTTATGGTAATGTGGCTCATTTTGGAGAATGTGGGCTCGCTGCCTTAAGACTGCTATTCCACAGTGGATCTGGGTCCATTATTTTTAACGATTATATGGTTGATGATAAAATATCAAGTGATTTGAATAGTTCTATGTATGAGATTAGTTTAACCTGCATGTAGCACTTTGGCATTGCATTTATCACATACAAATAGCTACTGCTCTTCTTAGTGTCAGGGTGTATGTCAGTTCATGAATGAGATTTTTGAGTGCCTGTCATGTTACACTGCTGTACACTGGATAGACGGTGGATGTATGCGATCTGAAGTGAGAAAGGTGGTCTTCACTATGTGCTGGGGAGGTCAGCTTGTCTTACTTTATTGTTGCTGGGATAAAACACTTGACAACAACAAGTTGAAGGAGGAAAGTTTATTTTGGCTCCCAGTTTGTAACAGTTTCCAGTCCTTAGTTGGCTGGTATCCTATGCAGGGCTGCATGGCCAAGAAGAGACAGTTTATGACGTGGCAGGAAACACTGAGCCTCTGTCCTTTCCATTTTTACTTCTTGCAGGGTACAAGCCCACTGGTTGATGTCACCCACACCCAGGGCAGCTCTTCCCTCTTCGGTAAATCTATCACACCAAGAATTATGCTAACCTACATAGTGGACTAACCCAGGGACTCCCAAGGCCCTGCTTATGACCATAGAAAGCTTTTGGGGA